TAAATTTAAAATTCCCATGTTATTCTTATGGAGAATATTGTCAAATGTTGTAGTTTGCTTGTTTATGGATATATTTTGATCAAACTTGGCAAATTTATTTATTTTGTACTAAGCTATCAATATTTTACTCAAAAACACACTTTACTAGTTTCCTTGTAGCAGCAAACCTAGGTACTCGTTAAACCTAATGTTATTAAAATATATTTAACTGAAAATCAATTCAGACAAATGGAAATTCGCTTAGTCGGCAGGTTTGCTGCGGCGGGGGTATTTATATTAAACAGAGTTTGTTACCATAGATACACAAGACTTCCTTCCTTATATTTTCTACGAATGCGACAAATTATTGTTTAGCTTGAACAAATTGATTTTTCACTGTGAAAATGAGCTTGATCCATCGCGTGTTTTACACTGTGACTGTGGCAGCTGTGGTTCTCAAGACTGCTCACTCTATAAAACATGTCTACGAGTACCAAAAGGAGGAGGCCTTGTACAAAAGAATAAACACGATACCCCCAAAACCCAAGAATGCTAAAAAAACCCCTACTGATCCTGCTCGTTAAAATTGGGGCAATATGTCCAAATTCCTGTTGTGGCTTGCGGTACTGGATGAATGAATACATTTTACAAATTTGACTTCAAGTGGCCATTTCAAGAGTTGTTTTGTGAATTCGCAACTTGATTGTTTGGCAGATCCTGCTAGAAACCTTCAGCAATGCTGGAATCTGAGGAGAATCTTTTCCCAAGAAGTTCATCATTCGATTGAGGTTTTCTTTCATCAGTTTCCTAGGAAGATTCACAAGTGTTCTTTGGTATCATGGAGGAAACAGCCTGATTCGATCACAGAAGATTTCCCCAGAACACTATGTTGACATTCTTCATCGACTCCTAAGGGCAACTGTAAAGTATTTTTCCATGATAGAGTAAACATCCATGATTCAATCAGAGGAATGTGCCACAACCTCTAATCACATAATCTTAAAATCCTGGATTCCATACTAAGAAATCAATGTGGAAAAGCTACGCAGAAGAAGATGACGTCGGAGGTCTACGAACTTCTCAAGTAAGTTCTCAGAAGAGGAGTCACAAGGCAAGATGCAATCTAGTCAGGAGAGTCAAAGATTGCACAGCAATGCCTTGTTTTCGACTGCAACTTCCCTTTTATGACTACGTCTCGATTGTGACTACCGATTATGACTACCTATTAAGACACCTCTCTTATGACTACCGATCAAGACACCTCTCTTATACCTACCGATGAAGACATCTCTATTACGACTACTTTTTGAAAACTCCCAACGATGGCATCCCTATCATGACATTTCAAAGATGATTTAACTTGAAACTACGTCGCTAAGGTAAGAAAATGTAAGGTTTGCAACAAACATAATGATGAATATTTATCATACTAACGAAAACAGACATACAGTGTCATTGGCGATGTCAGAAGTATAGTATAAAATGAAAGATCGCCCACTTTATAAAAGGGATGCACCAAAAAACCATAAGTAAAGCTTAATTTGAACTCATTCAATAGTCTGATGCAATAAATGCTTGAAGAAACACAAAATGAACATTTTACAGATAAGATTCTATGGCTGTTTGCATTTTCATTGAAACCTTGGGACATGAAAGCAGATTTATTTTTGTTGAGGTCATATTAGATTTAACAGTACGGAACTTACACTTAATTGAAATATGTTTACAGCGTTATTAACGTTTGATTTATTAATTTGACTTAAAGCCCTTTGTGACCTACTTTAGGATACAAGACATCGCTGTGCAATCTTTGACTCTCCTGACTAGATTGCATCTTGCCTTGTGACTCCTCTTCTGAGAACTTACTTGAGAAGTTCGTAGACCTCCGACTTTATCTTCTTCTGCGTAGCTTCTCCACATTGATTTCTTAGTATGGAATCCAGGATGTTAAGATTATGTGATTAGAGGTTGTGGCACATTCCTCTGATTGAATACTACTCCTCCTCTGAATTGAAAAATACTTTACAGTTGGCCTTAGGAGTCGATGAAGAATATCAACATAGTGTTCTGGGGAAATCTTCTGTGATCGAATCAGGCTGTTTCCTCCATGATACCAAAGAACACTTGTGAATCTTCCTAGGAAACTGATGAAAGAAAACCTCAATCGAATGATGAACTTCTTGGGAAAGATTCTCCTCAGATTCCAGCATTGCTGAAGATTTCTAGCAGGATCTGCCAAACAATCAAGTTGCGAATTCACAAAACAACTCTTGAAATGGCCACTTGAAGTCAAATTTGTAAAATATATTCATTCATCCTGTACCGCAAGCCAAATCATCAGTCTGGAAATTATTGGCAAACTACTTATGTTAAATTCCTCAATTTTGTTTCATTAAATTAATTGCATTTTTTTAAAAAGGTCTCGTTTCTGTGAATTTATCTAACAAATCCTTTTTATGCATGACGAAAATACAATGGTGTTCTAAAGCGACAAACATCTAATAGTATTGAACTTTTATAGATGTAACTAATCAAATAACCGTAGCGCAAATACTAAGGATAGAGTCAACGCCAATCGTAGAATTTAACTAAATTTGAAAAATCTTATTTTATTATTTGTAGAAAAACATAATGATATTGTGATCTTCAATACTGTACCATATAATCTAAAATAAGAACATTTACAGGCAAACCCTTTTCCTCTCCTAGGATTTTTTTCTTTTTTTCTTTAATTTAAGGTATTTGGCCACGAGAAATAGATTGGAATTGGCCACAAGGCTAAGGAAAATGCAGTTTCCGTCTTACAGCTCTTCTAAGTGGCCATGTTATCTTCAATACCTTTTGTAGCTTAAGTTAACAAAAACAGCCGATACAGAGTATTTTTACTATCATCATTTTGATTTACGTTTAAAAAAAAGTGTATTGGTTTGTTTAAACAAACGTTTTAAAGAATGGTTATATTCAGTTTGGTTTACATTCGTATTACTGTTAAATGTTTTCAAGGTTAATGTACAACAGTAATAGTGGAATGCGGAAGACCTCCGAAGCGAATATACATAATCCGAATGAGAGAGAAGCTACAATTGATCGTCAGGAAACAAATTTTACCTATTCGTCTACAATCGAGCCAGTTCCAACCAGTTCATACATCTCACTAAATGTCTCAAAACCTCTATGAAGTTACAGATCAAAGAACAAAAGGAGATAAATAATTTAAGATTTGATTTGATTCCGTTCTATTTCTTATTTAAATAAATACTAGCTGTGTGCCCGTTCTAAGTACGGGGATCTTAGTAAGTCGAAACCTTCTTATATTCAGAACAGGAGTTGTTTGCATATTTCATGTGCATTTTCCAGATATGCTGGCAAAACTAACTATTGCTGTATAGGAATACATATAAACCTTTGCAAATACAATATCCGACAGTTTCAAGCCAAAGCGAATGGTTGGTAATTAAATGTTGCCCGATCGTGTGAGTTCATATTTTATATCCAATGATAACAACAAATTGTCTTTTAGATCTATAATACATAGCCCTAAGGTTGGCCTATATTTAAAAGTTGCTTTCCACACTGGTTAAAAGTAGTTAAATACTAACCTCACCACTGCACACTTTATTCCAGTTGAAATTTTAATTGACAAAGATGATCTTGCCTTTTCCACGAAACACTGATAAATAAGTACATTAATGCGTTACCAACATACATGCACACAAAAATACACAGAATTAAATTGGGGAATTGGCTACGCTTTAAAAAAGCTAAGTACATACAATTATTTGTACAGGTAAAAATACATTAGTATTTGAAATGTTTGATAGTGTTGAGCCGGGTCATTGCTCGTGTCGCCACTCTCATGTCCCCCAGCTCATTTTTTTATAGAATTTAAGTTGTCAGTGTATTTGTTATCTTGTTGGCTGTGTGCTGTCAGTTAATCAAGTCCCGGGGTTATTCATCTCCCTTGGTTTTGGATTTATTTTTATTGTTCCAAAATCAAAGTTATTTCCCATTAATATCAACATGTGTAAGCATCTTTTATTGTAAACATATCGATGCCAGTTTGAAGGATCACCTTTATCCGAAAAAAAGGTTTCTTAGCTAGTGGATGTGTAATATCTAAACAATGATAGATAGGTCCAACAAAACAATCATTTGAACCACTATTGCCCAAGGGGAGTTTTAAAAAGATCTGAATTTTAAAGTGTAAAGTCGCGTCCGGAGCACCCCTATTGTACGTTGTTTAAACTTTCTTAGTTAATTTGACTGTTTATCAGCAGATAAGAGTGGGAAATAGTAAACACTCTTGTTTTCATAGTAACTTAGTATTAAGCTTTTGATTTTCTCCCTTAAAACAATTAATCTTTCGTCGCCACAGACCTACTCATCGAAAAACGTGCCGAGTTGCGAAATCACAAGGGACAAGCTAGACTCAGAGCTACTAGCGACCTCAGTGATTTGAGTACTGTGAATGTTGATTACAAACCAGCAAAAAGCTTGATTGCCAACGACCTTTTCAAGATGAGAAGTTTGACTTCACCAAAAACATTTTGGTGGAAAAGTAGGTATTTTAACTAGCGCAAAGTTGGTACAATCCAGGTGTCATAATTTGTCTTTGACACCCAATACGTGTAATTAAACGGGAACGGAAGACGTGGGATTGCAGTATAACTGCAGCAGCGCCCGTGGGCGATATACCGCCCGTTGTAGGCGCAAGTGGGCGCTGGCAGTGACTGGTTGTTGGATTAGGTGTAAACTGGTTCAAAACGTGTAATCTGTGTGGATCATGCAAGGGGCTAGTTGCTGTAGTTTGTGATGTTGTTGAGAAAACTTACTATATCAATAAGACTTGGCTGGCAATAATATGTTGCCTTACTGGCCTAAGCCATATAGGCTACATGACACACCGAAATAATCAAAACATGTTAATGGAATCGTCTTATCTTTCTCTATTCATATACCACGACGAAGTATTTAGTTTTGTTATATGTCTTCTCTGTGTTACACTCCAACGTATGTTTCAGGATGTGATGACGTCACAGGATGGATCATGTGACCACCACGACGACGGTGGTGCGAGAGACCACCACCTCCTCCTACCTGGTGGTGAGTTCATGTTTATGTACCTAAGCAAAAGTTAAACTAGAAAACTATGACAGAGTAAAAAAAAATATTTCTATGGTCAATTAACGTGCCGTGACATTAAAATATATATGTTTAGGTGCAACCACGCCATTCCCTTCAAGAATGTTCTAAGGTCAAGGACACAACTGTTAAGTGGTCAGAACGCTGGGGATAATTTTTATATCCATATTGTTCCCTGTTATGTGTAGGTTATTGTTGTACCATAGATGAAGTAATATAAAGTTGTACTGATTATTAAGAATATGAAATGTTTTTGTATTCACAAAAGATCGTAAATGGCAAAACGGGTGTTATTGGCCTATCAGTATCGTTTGTTTCATTGAGACTGCAAGGTAATGTCATTGAGAAACTATACAAATACCTAATACTCATTTTGTGTTTATACACCATTTCATGACTACCACATGACTACAGTTTTATACCTTTGATATTTTATATTTTAGATGCAATTTTCAAGTCTGACCCAAGAAATTATTTATTGGGTATTTGTATAGCGTATCTGGATTATTGTACCCTGAGAAGAAGTTTTTTGATAGTTCGTAAATGGACCAAACTGTAGAGGCTACTGACTTCAGCTCTCATTGGCTACTTGACCATTGGGATATTTTAATGTTCTCGGACATAAAACCTATGCACTACAGTGAAAGTTATCCTAGCGTGGACAGTGACACTGTGTGCGTGTGTATGTGTGCGCGTGTACAGTAAATTACCGGAAGTGGTTCTCAGTCACGTCCAGGCAGTGCACGTGTACAACAAGACACGTAGATATCTGACACAGTTCATATCTGAAGCACGTAGGGTAGTCTTCAGTCCCACGACACGTAATGTTGATTTCAATAACTCACAATTCAACTGATTTCAACTGTTTACTTGCTCACTGTTCGGATCTGTGGGGGAAAGTATGGAGGTTGGTAGACAGGAATAATTACCATGATATTCAGATATTTTAAGATGTATATTGATTCAGATATAATAATAAGATATTCTGAAAAATATATATATTTGCAGATATCGGTTTTGTTGACTGCTGAGTCAAGATATACATAATTCAAATTAAACTTCATCTGGGTTTTGGAGTTGAGTTATCCCTCAAGAGGCAATCGTGTTTCTCGTTGTATTTTCATATTCACAGTACGAGTCATATGACAAGCTGGGACCTTTTCTGATTAGAAGTACTGTACCAGTTTCTATAAGTTTTAAAATCCTACGTCAGTGCGATGCCGGTTGTCAGCCATCTCGATAGACTTTTCCCCTACTAGACTGAGGCTGTTTTAGCACTTTCCTCTTCTGCTACCTATGCTACAGTATGGAAACAGAGCCAGTGCCCTCGCGGTAGGTAGACAAGATAGATGCTTTCACGGACAGGTACAGGGCAAGGTCGGAGTCAGGTGTAAGGTGGACAGGAGGAATGTGACGGTGTGGGTCTCAAGGCTGTCTGTTGTGTGGATTGGAAGTACAGTACTGTACAGTTATGGCAAAACAGTATACAGGCAATAGTCACATCCACAAGATATGATACATTTAATTGAAGGAAAGGTTTTGGTAACTAATACGATTTACGATTTACGGCTCTTCTTTTAAATTCAACCACGCTAAAACAGTAGCATCTACTGTGTAATGTTCGTTGAAAACATGGGTGAAGGTGAAACAAATACAGAAAAATAATCACATTTCTAACTACGGTGTTCGTATAGACTTGTTTAAAAGTTTGTTCATTGGAAAGGACGTATTCGTGTTTTCCTTGTGAAAAGGAAGTAATGTAACATAGCTTGATTCTTAAAATTATTTCAATCGCCAGACAATTGTGACTTAATTACTGTTTGAAGTGGCTATTTAAGTATAGAAAAATTATTTCGGTATGGTCAAATAAATTTGGTACTTGTCATCATACAATTTTACCCTTGTTAAAATGCCTCTAAAACTTTTGTATAACAAAAACACCAACTTTTTAATTAAACTTCACAGAACGTCGCACTTCTTTTTTTGTCCTTTGTGGGTTTACTCATACTTAAACAATAGACTTAAGATGATTTATAAGTCAATTAAAGAGCCGCCAAGTTACTCTGGTGCTCCTTAGATTGTCTTCACCCCTTCAAGACTATCAAACCCAACCCCGACTTTAGCTCCACCCTGCCCTGTCCCTGACAACCATTGTGGGTATTGTGCAAGGATATTTATAACCTATTACCGGCTTTCCAACCCATTGCTCTTCGACTTGGGGTTAAAGCGAAAGGCGTTCTCTGTATACATTGGGAAACCTTACATTCTTGTTTGTTCAAATTTATTTGCTTACAAATACTTAGGTCCAAGATGAATACCCCACGTTTTAAGACTTGATTGGCAAATTACATTGTTAATGCTGTGTAGGTTATATGGGTGTTGATAAGTCCAAAAACTGTTTTTTTTATTGACGTAACAAAAAGAGTTTGTTGAAGTGAAGATGCAATATCTACGATAATCTTAAACACTCCCAATATTTTGCAGAAACATTAATTTGGACTAAGTATTTTGTTGAAAAAGGTAAAATAAACAGAAAAAACTAAATGCCATAAGCATTTTACGTGAAACCTTCACATAAAACCTTCCGATAAACACAAGTCACGCCTACAGTGAGAATGGCAAATTTCGTCAACCACGAGCGCACGATATAACCACACGACCGTGGCTTATCCGTGGTTTGTCCTACAAGAAGTGACCAAAACAGGATCCATCAGCCTCTGGTTATCAGGATTTGGTGATAACCATTTTACCTTGCATTAGTCACGACCACTCATGGTCGCTAAACAGTGATTTTCAAAAGCAATTTTGTGAAAAAAGAAACCCATTGTTGAAAGGGATGTCAGACAAACTGTTGAGGATGTCCTGATCGTCGATTACAGTCTAAAATCGTCATAAAATACAAGGTGTCCCATAAGAAATTTTTAAGTTAAATGCCATATTGAAAAGATCAGACTTTAACGGAAGGGAATTCATATTATTTTCTGTCATAAGATAATACAGTAGTTGAAATTCCCCATATAATGTTTTCTCTAAATCGAATAGTTTCTGAGATAGCAATGGTGGTGCATTTAAGCTCTTCACTCTGTATATTCGCAGAATACTAAACCCTGAAACAGCGGGTTTTCAATTATTTTAATGGGATTTAATCTTATTGATGCGTCTTATATTGTGCCAAATGTTATTTTTGTATTAATTATCTAATCTTAGGCCATGGAATATTCAATTAGTTTAAAATACCTTAACATAGATATGCTTATACTGTTTAACTTGCGATTATGTGAGTTTAGACTCAAAATGTGCGTTTTCTTTTGCTGAACAAGATGGTAAAATTAATTTTCACAATTCACAGTTGTAACTGTAGTTATACACATTTATTTAATGACAAAAAATGATAAGTACAACTACATGGTTGTGACACATAGGAACGGTCACGGCGGGAATTCCAGGAACTGACCCTACTGGTGGCAAATGACACTGGTGGCAAACGACACTGGTGGCAAATAGTGGGACACCCAAGATATCAACCACTAGAAGTATGGAATATTTTTTTGGGTAACCCTTCTCAAGAGCCATTCAAACGCCCTGCACTATATGGTGACTATATGTGTGCTCCGAAGGGGAATTTGATTTGATCAGTAATTTTAAATCGTTTACATAGGTCTATGACCTAAATCACGGTCAATCAAATTAGATCATAAATTCTGTAACCCTGAAATCCAGGCTACGTAGTTTAAGGGAAAGGTGGTGATGCTTGTTTTGTTACTGACAAATTCACTAATATACAGGGTGTCCCGTAACTCTCTGGACATATGTATACAGCGTTATTCCTTAGGTCAAGACATACACATTTCACCATAGGAACATGGGTCTGTGGTGCCTAGTTTTCAGTCTGTCTGTATTTATGTGTTTTTTACAAAAAAAAAACTAATAACTCCTTAACAGTTTGAGATACAGCATTGATATTTTGTAAAAATGTTTATCTCATTAAGACCTATTACCGTTATAAATTATACTAAAAAATCCTTAACCGTTTCAAAATGGCGGCCATTTAAAATATTAGATGCAAAATTTCACGAAAATTGTTAACTTTACAAAAAAACTGGAAGAGACAAAAAGGTTAGTAAATTTTATGTAGTTTTTAATGATACCTTATTTGTCAAGATTGAATAAATAATAACAGAGAAACGTCTTATTTTTTTAATGAAATACCAATTTTCTCCATTTAAGCAATGCTAATAATCCTAATAATCCAAAGTAAATAGCTGTAGAAACGCAGTGTCTTCTTTTAATTAATGACTATATAGACATATAAGTAAAACAAATCACATATTATTTATCAAACCGCTATTATTATGTCCATCAATTGTCTTATGTGATCGTTGGTTGCGGCGCTCAAAAGTAGGGTTGAAGTTGATTTGTTGCTTCCGCATTCGCTGTGATTTTTATAGTTGTTTTTATTCTAATGTATACAATTAAGCTTACTGTGAACAAAGGAAAGAAGGCTCAAATTTAGAATGTAATTAAATCATCTAAGGACATTTTGTTTCGAACGTTTACAAGTACCCTAACCTATATTTTCAAATATTCGAATGCATAAGAATATTTGGGTTAAAAAACGTTTGGAATATTCTAATTTTGAGTCTACAAACCATGAATATTGAATAATAAGCATAAACGTTTATTGTATTGATGTAACAATTGCAACGCTGTTAAGCAATGGAGAAATAGGTTTTCCATTATACTAAAACAAGTATAAATCGCTAAGGTAGTTCGTAGCTCACTGGCAAGATTCCTCGCTTCTCATGGTCTATCCTTGCCACTCCCTACCTTTTTATTCCATTAATTAAACATATACATGTCACTTAAATGACAGCGCTAGTCAACATATTTTTCTATTACAGTACTTTGAATAACAAATTCAGGATACCAGAATGGATTAAAAGTAATGTTTTTATGATAAG